GCAGAGGGCACCGAGTAACGAGGTCAGGCGGCTGGAATGTGGCGGAGACCGTCTGTGCGGAGGTGACGTGAGGGTTCGGTGGTGGGGGGATTCGGGCACGATTTATCCGCGGGTCGCAGTTGCGTCATTCGTGCTCTGGAAAACGTATGCTGTGTGCAGAGTCGCTGGGCAAGTGGTTTGATCCATTAGTATTCTGTCTTCCGTGTATCCGGATTTGGTGTTGATGTAGTCAACGATTCAGATGAGCTCGAAACACATTCTCGCGCGTCTGTCTGTGTCTGTGTTATTCAGTGCACGAAATCTATTCGAATGTGTTTGAAGGGGTTTTCCTTGAGTTGTCAGCAGTGCCGTCTTATCGGCAAGATGTACACACGAGGAAACTCACTGTGCTTCAGAGTCTCCAAACCAGACTGAGAGTCTCATGCCTACCGCCGAGGCTAAGCTGACAATGCAATGCAGTGCTGGTGGGGAGAGCACCGTCAGACTCGCCATCCTTCAGAGGAGACATTAAACCGAGCTCCTCCTCTGTGCCCTGTTCAGGGAGATGTTAAAGATTCCAAAGGGAAAGAGAAAGAAGTTTCACTCTCTGTTGTCCTGGCCAACAATCCCCCGGATAAGCAGCCACGATTGAGGTCAATGCCCTATTTTATCGGGGTGGATTACCAGGCAGGATACTGGCAGAGAAACTCCTTTCTCTTTTCCAATAGTGTTACAGGATCTTTAACATCCGCCTGAACAGGGCACAGAGGAGAAGACACTCGTTTCAAACATCCCATTTGAAGTTCAGTGGCTCTGACAATGTGGTCATTCGGTGGTCTCTCCCCTGACCGCCCCACTCTCTCACGTCACTGGAACGTCAGCTTAAACCTTGAGCTAAAGACCTGGTGTGATGGACTTGAACCCACAACCTTCTGACTTGATGGGGAGAGCGCGGTGAGCTGAGCAAGGCTGGCATGTCAGGCATTTCACCCCTGTGTGAGCGAGTGGGAGTGACCGGGTCGAAGTGCGTGAGCCACACTAGAAGAGACTCACTTTGTATGTGTGTGAGAGAGAGAGAGAGCGCGAGCGCAAAAGAGAGAGGCACATTGACAACCAGCCCACTTGTTGGGAATATCAGTAAACATGAAGTGCTAACTTGTCAACACGTGGACTTAAAATGCAAAACTCTGGAGATCAGCCTCCCCCTCCCCTCCCCCGGCTGCCGTCTCCGTGAACAGAGCAGCGAAAGATAAGCTTCCTCTGGGGAGGGGCTGGGCCTACGTTAAGGTTATTTATTGCTCACTGGGAGTTTGTGTTTGTTCCTGAGAGGAGCTGAGTAACTGACTCTCTGTTCCAATGAGTTCTTTTTTAATGATTCTTCATGCCAAATTGCATCACCGTTAGGGTCAGATAGGTTTTGGTATCTGCAGACAGGAGATCGATAGATTCCCTATTCCCCCCTACCTATCTCCCCACCCCCTCCCAGCACCATCGCTGACAGCCAATGCCTTTTTTCCCTGCCCCACCGAACATCAAGTTGTGTTGTGCAAGTGTCCAGGACCAACACTGAATTGTGTCTTTCTCATCGAACCTAAAATCATAACAATATTAATCCTTGCATTTGACACAGCGCCCTTCACATCAGTAGGACGTCTCAAAGTGCTTCAAAGGATTTTACTGTAAAGTGGAGTGACTGTGTGCTATGTAGTCGAAGGTGGCAGCCGATTTGTGCGCAGCGACATCCTAGCAAAATAGCTGTGATATAGGGTGGGGGAAGAGAGAGAGAAACTCCCTTATCTTTTCAGATAGTGCCGGGCGTGGGGGGAGATCTTGAATGTTGAATTTGAAAACAAACTCCGATTGTCGTCAATCAACACGGTCAAAAAGGCTTGTGGCATTTGTTTGCCCTCAGGAGCCATCCACCAACCAGGGTTGGCCACCAGGTAGGCTGGTTGGAGCCTGTCACCCACACACGCGGACACCCTCGCACTCCCACGTGCCTCCCAGCTCAAAAAGGCCTCTCGCTATCACTCAGTAATCAACGAAAAGCAGAGGCGGTTTGTTTACCGAAGGCAGGTTTATTCTGGCAGCCAAAAAGGTGGATTGATTTAAGAGGTTTTCCAAGCAGCCCCATCCCTTCCTTGCACTCCATAATCACCTGGTGTGCCATTTCCCACATCCCCTCCAAGGCAGGGCGTTGTCAGGTTTCTGCACGCTTCTGAAGACGAGTGTGAATGGCTTGGGTAAGGGAAACAGAGACAGAGAATAGCTGTGTCCACTCACTGGGGCAGTGAGACAGGACAGAAAGGTATCATAGGGTGAGTTACAAAGATGGGGGAGATTACTAGAAATTCGTTTAACACACACTCTTATTGAAATGTTTTCCCCTGGATGACTCTTGAAGCTAAGTCCATACTACAACAACAACTTGTACATTTCTGCAGCTTCTGCCCTTCATGCAGGACGGTGTTTTGGAACTTTTAACAGTGGCGTAGTTTGACGCTGAACCGGGGAGAGAGGGGAGGTGACCCAAGGCATTGTCGAAGAGAATCTGAAGTTAGGTAACGGAGAGGGAGTGCGAGGCGGAGGGATTGAAGTGGGGAGTTCCAGAGGTTCAGGGTGCAGTGCCTGACGGCCAAAAAGGCAACTAACTGGATGATGATGTGAGAGCAGCTCAGGGACTGACCTGTCCAGCTGACAAGTCTGCGACTCTTATGTTTTGCTAACACCCGTTGCGTGAAGGCCGCGCAGACGCAAGCCCTGAGCCATAGTAAGCTGTGGTGTCAGAGGCGCTATCCGTTCAGTGAGCCGATAAAACCAAAGCTCCCTGTCTGTCTGTGTGTGCCCTGTGCAGCGGACTTTAAGGATTCATCGAGACCCCGTTGGCAAAGAGAAGGGAGTTTCGCTCCCGGTGTCCTGGCTGACAATTCACCCCACCACAAATAAAGTCAGTCACTCACTTTGTGGTGTTATGGGACTATATTGTGTGCACCCTGGCATGAGCTGTAACCATCACCTGTGCTGCCCTCTGCTGACACAGTGAGCGATATTAAATGCAAAGATTATTAAGCGTTTCAGTCTGTCTGTGTCGCTCTCTTGTGGCGCCGTAACTATATCATCCACCAGCTGATCTATGTTGATATTTAACTGGCAATTCGTTATCGGTGCAGTTTGTTTTATTGATCTCCCTATATCCCATTTGCTTATGGTCGGCACACAGCTTATCGCTCGCCGAGATAAAAGCCCCTGCCTCCAAGCCAAATGTCTCTGAAAGTTCTAATAATTCATTGATAATAAAAAGCCCTGTGTTTGATCCAGCGCAAGTAAAACATCTCAAGAGATTTTTACAGGGAAATTGCCATCCAGTGCAGAGACTGCTGCGTATGTCTGCTGTTAAATCAATGGAAAGGGTAGGAAAGAGTAGGGTAAGGTCCCATAGAAAGCTCCTCGTCATCCAAACCTCTCTTGCAATCGTTAATAAGTGACTGTTTTCTGTCCAGGTGAAGTGTTGGTTTTGCTGTATAGGTGTGTCACTGCGAGTTCTGTAAACTCTGAGGCACAGAGTGAACTATCCACTGAGCCATCCCAGTGAAATCAAACCAGCCTCATTAATGTAGGAAAGCCACCAGCAGATCTGATAGAGGGAGTTCAGGGGGAAACTCTTTGCGCAGAGAGGGTGGTGAGAGCCTCGATGCTGGAAGCTGTGGTTGAAGCAGAAGAGAGCAACATGTTTAAGGGGAAACTTGATATGTACATGAGGCAGAGCGGAACAGAGGGGATTAGGAGGGGTGGGGTCTCGTGTGGAGTAAGTGATCCAGGACTCTGCTAGCGTGTCGGGCTATATATAAATCAAGTTGTTGTTACTGAGTATAAACATGGACTAAACAGTTGGGCTGAATGGCCTTTACTGTGCCTTAATGTTCTGTGTAATATGGGGTACTTTAATGTGGATCAGTCGGGGGATATACAGCCAGAGACCATCAGAGGGCGAAAGAGACTGAAGCGAAAGAGAGGAGACTGCACGGAACCGCATTGACGGGGGAGAGGGGGGAGTTTATTCATAGTCCTGTAGCTCAGTGGTTAGAGCACTCGCTTTGCAAGTGAGAGACCTGAGCTCAATCCCCGGCAGAGGGCGAAACCTCGGGCAAGTTTCCTTACTCCACACAGAGCCTAATAACAATCCCTCCAAAACCAAAAACAATAATAAATTGGTCATTTTCAATCCACGACTGTTTGTGGGACATTGCTGTGCGCAATTGGCTGCCGCGTTCGCCCACAAATATACAGTCGATTCACTTTACAGTGTGTTCTGTGAAGCGCTTTGGGACGTCCTCCCGACGTGAAAAGCGCTATATCAAATGCAAGGATTATTATTATTATTATACCGTCCACCTCGTCTTTGAGGCAAGCTTCAGCTGGACACTGTTAATAATAATCCTTCCATTTGATACAGCCCCTTATCTAACACGTCTTTGAGATGTTTCAAAGCACTTCACAGAACATACTGTAAAGTATATTTTGTGGGTGAAATGCGGCAGCTAATTGCGCACAGCGGCGTCCCACAAACAGTCGTAGATTGAGTGACCAAATTATTTTATTTTGAAGGAATCATTAAACCCAGACAAGCGCCGAGTTCTCTAACCACTGAGCTACAGGACTCCAGATGGGAGGACGGTTGTGGCAGGGAGCTCGCCTGTGTTAGTACGGAGACGTGCAGAGGGAGAGAGAGATGAAAGGAGGCGCTGAGCTCCACACACGGTTTTATTTATTGCAATTCACAAAAGACAAAGGTAACCAATCACATTCGCTACAGGATTTCAGCTGCTCCTCGGGAAGGACGAGGCAACATTTGCAATGAAGTAATAATACACAGAACACGAGGTGGGAGGGGGGAGGTCTGCTGATCAACAGGACGGTGGGAGGACTGTTTAACAAGTACAAACACAGGAGGTTATAGACAGAAATGTCAATGCAAGATCGACTGGCTTCCCATCAGACGATATTTTCTCAATTCCTGACTTGTCTTTCTGAGCTGAGCTAGTTGTTTGACCTGGAAGAAAGAAAAGGAAAGAGTTAAGAGCGATTCCTGTGTCTTGTTCCTCTAACACCAACCTCCCATGATCAAAGAAAAACTGATAAGGACATAAGGATTTGCTGGCGAAAGAAGACCAAGGTCCATCCAGTTCGCCTTCCACCATCCTGGCAGTCGCTTGACATGTCGTGTTCCAAACTATATACCATCCCGAGACATTATTATATTGCACAAATCTATCTGATTGCTGGTGTCTGCCTTGAAATTGCCTCTTCACATCTCTAAACACAGGTTCTCTTGTTCTGCTGTCTTGCTCCATCTAAAATATTAATCTGGATTTACTTTTTTAATCTGTTAGCCATCTGAGTGGCCTTCTCGCGAGACTGAAGTTTCAGGGAGCAAGATCTCTGCGTGTTACATAGCTGAGAGTTGATCACTTTGTTTGTGTTTTAAAGTCTCTTCTGTTAGCAGATGTGCAATGCTTTCTGATCTCTCCTGGGAGTTTTTTAAAAAAACTATATAATTATATGAATCATCCCGGCCACAATTCCCCGAATAAAAATTGGGTCATTTGCTTCTTGGTTGTTTGTGCTGGGAAATTACTAAACCAGATTGGCTGCCGCACTTGCCAACAAACCACAGTCACTCAACTTTACAGTAAAATCCCTGTGAAGCGCTTTGAGACGTCCTCCCGATGTGAAAGGCGATACACTGAATGTAAGGATTATTATTAGGATTATTATAGGAATAATTTGAGTACGTTTATTTGACTGATTGCCTATTATTTTTTAATAGAGAGCCACTGGCTCTCACGTCTCTACTTTTGCTGGTCTGACCTCCGGTACCCAAGGCCAAGTGGCCATTGGTCATGAGTGTCGGGCAGTGACACTCGACCTTAGAGGGCATCACATCACATCTGAGCTTGATCTCTCCCCACATGGCTGCCAATAGAGGGTGCTGTGGAAGGACCAGGAGCAGGAACCTGGCTGATTTTACCCTCCCTATCCTGGGAAGGCTGAGGCTAATTTATCCTCTCTATACAGCCAAGATCAAACCCCTCAGCACAGACTGGTATTTGAACCAGTGAGCTCCCATTGCCTGAGTCCCTGCAGCGAGGTGTTGGGTGGTCAGCATCCATTCCTGATGGGGTTGGCTTTAAGTTGACTCTCTGTTCTGCAGAATTCTCCCGCTGCTCAGTTTGGCAAACCCCGGGACAGACACCAATATTTGTTGTTTATTTTCCAACTTGTTTACCAAACACGAGTCTATTTCTTCCTGTCAGCCTGAGTCACCACCTCAGTGTCCACCTGCCAACCTCTGACACTTCTTACACGTCTGTCTGACTGGCGGGAGGTTGGTCAGAAAGGAGTGGGTAGGGAAAGCTAGCAGCTGATATCTACTGACGTTTCTGTGTCTACATGAGGAGCCTGGTCACTTCACATGGAGTTACATACAGAGAGCGATACAGGCCATTTGGCCCAACTAGTCCCTGCTGGGGCTTACACTCCATGCAGGACCTGCCGCTTTGACCTCTACCTTTTTCAGTTAGCTTTCCCCTCTCCACCCCCCCCGCTCCTCAGTACCTGTTCCCAGCTCGGGTGCTAAGCCAGGATTGTGAAGTACCTTCTACGTCCTCCCAACATGAAATACGCTGTGTGAATGGAAGATTGTATTGTATTGTAAGTCCCCAGCTGAACCCTGTATCGACTTTCTTGCTCTTGTAGGCCTGAAGCTCTTTGCCGCATTTACAAGGATTGAGAACTAAACACTCCCCTCTCCCCCCGCCTCACCCTCATCTACCCAAGCCATTACTCATTCAGACAGTCCTCTCTATCCTTCACCCTCAGTGCCAGGCTATCACAGAGAATGTGGTCAGTATGGGACCTGGGGTTCAGACCTTTGTATTAGAGTAGTTTCCTGGCAGAGGCAGAGATGGCCTGCCTGACACTGTCTTTCACCTGCACTTTGTAATCCCATAAAAAGCGTGTATTGAGCCAGGCGATACTCTCATTTGACTGGAGGTTCTCTGTCTGACACACTGTGATGCCGCAAATCTGAAGCCCATGCCAGCCCGATTTAAACCCAAGCTTCTCAGTAAAGAGATCACTGTGTGTCAAATGTAAATAAACAGTGCCTGGATTTGCAGAAATGTTAACTCACGGCGGAGGACAGAGGTGTTGTGTTGGACAAGGTGGGGAAGCGATGGTGAGTGCTGATACATTGTGGGAGGGCTAGAGGGACCCCAGTTATATAGAATGGCCAAACGGTCTTCAGGTTGCCTCGGTTTCTTAAAGACAGAAAGAGAGGAGCGAGGGGGCAAGAGACGGAGGGGTAGAGAGAGGGAGGGAGTACAAAGGTTAGGGACGAAGGAACTAAGAGCTCAGGCCACTGATAGCAAATCCGTGCATCTTTGGGCTTAGTGTTAGGCCTCCAGTGCTCCGAGATGTGAAGGGCATTAAATAAGTTGTTGTTACATAGCTGTGAATCTTTGTGTACCTCCCTGCTGAAGTTGACGGCTTGCAGATGCCTATTAAAAACTTAATATCATCCCCTTTTTATCAACCTCCCTAACTGATGTCTGTACTCCCACAGAGCTTGGAAATGTGACACTGTTTGACGTTTATACAGTGGTGAGTGTAAGCTGTCGTTATCACAGATGTGTTTAGATGTCGTTGTAAGATATTGTGTTTTGGAAACATGTTTATCGTCAGTAAGACATCACACACAAGCACTTACCTTAATCACTACTGTCGGAGTCGCTGCTGTCACTACTGTCGGAGTCACTACTGCCATTACTGCCACTGTTGGAATCACTGCTGTCACCGCTGTCGCTGCTGTCACTACTGTCGCTGCTGTCACTACTGTCGCTGCTGTCACTACTGTCGCTGCTGTCACTACTGTCGCTGCTGTCACTACTGTCGCTGCTGTCACTACTGTCGCTGCTGTCACTACTGTCGCTGCTGTCACTACTGTCGCTGCTGTCACTGCTGTCGCTGCTGTCACTGCTGTCGCTGCTGTCACTGCTGTCGCTGCTGTCACTGCTGTCGCTGCTGTCACTGCTGTCGCTGCTGTCACTGCTGTCGCTGCTGTCACTACTGTCGCTGCTGTCACTACTGTCGCTGCTGTCACTACTGTCGCTGCTGTCACTGCTGTCGCTGCTGTCGCTGCTGTCACTACTGTCGCTGCTGTCACTACTGTCGCTGCTGTCACTACTGTCGCTGCTGTCACTGCTGTCGCTGCTGTCACTACTATCGCTGCTGTCACTACTATCGCTGCTGTCACTGCTGTCCCTGCTATCGCTGCTGTCACTGCTATCGCTGCTGTCACTGCTGTCACTGCTATCGCTGCTGTCACTGCTGTCGCTGCTATCGCTGCTGTCGCTGCTATCACTACTGTCGCTGCTGTCACTACTGTCACTACTATCACTGCTGTCACTGCTGTCACTGCTGTCACTGCTATCGCTGCTGTCACTACTATCACTGCTGTCACTGCTATCACTACTATCGCTGCTGTCACTACTATCGCTGCTGTCACTACTATCGCTGCTGTCACTACTATCGCTGCTGTCACTACTGTCGCTGCTGTCACTACTATCACTACTGTCGCTGCTGTCACTGCTATCACTGCTGTCACTGCTGTCACTACTGTCACTGCTGTCACTACTATCACTGCTGTCACTACTATCGCTGCTATCACTACTATCGCTGCTATCACTACTGTCACTACTGTCACTACTATCGCTGCTGTCACTACTATCGCTGCTGTCACTACTATCGCTGCTATCACTACTGTCGCTGCTATCACTACTGTCGCTGCTATCACTACTATCGCTGCTATCGCTGCTGTCACTACTGTTGCTGCTGTCACTACTGTCAGCTTCATTGACGGCATCCCCAGCTTCATGACCTGCAGAACAGAAAATTAGTGCAGACATTAATGAAGTGAAATGAGAAAGTTTTTTAATGACGTACATCGGTCGTCATTGTCAGTGGAGAGAGCATAATACTGTGAATTAAAGGGACCAAGCGCTGTAAACCCAGCCTGGAATGGAGGACGGGTGGCAATGGAATAAAGTGGAATGTTTTGCTCGGTTGACTTTCGGGATCAGCAAATCTGTAAGATTAGCTTTTTCCCGGGAGATTGGGCAGAGGGTGGGTGGGGGAAGGGTGGCCCCCACCCACCCTCTGCCCAATCTCCCTCCCATTGAGAGGGCAGGTGTTGTCTGTGGATGAACTGGGTTTGATGTTCTGAATAGCTCTTTCTATTCCTTTGTGGCCACAGCGATGCCCACTCCACCGCCCCACACCGTCCTCTTCCCCTGAAGTGCTCATTAGAGCTGCGAGAGGCTTGCAGATTCAGTGAAAATTATTCAAAGCAAAAAAATTATTTACCTCCATTGCCGTTTGCATCCGAGCCTGAAACAGGAGAGAGGGTAACAAGGAGATTAGGAGCCATTTAGAAGATCCACATCAATTTGTTCTTATTTTCAGTGTTGGTGGGTCAGAGACTAAGTACTGTATGTGTACAGTATGGCAGTGTCACAGTCAAGAGGAATACCAGCCTAAAGGGTTAAATCCTACTGTAATTTGTCGATCAGGAATGTTTTACCACACTTACCTCCATTTCCGTTGTCATCGGAGCCTGTGAGGGAGAGAACGTGACATTGAGGTTAAAAGTTACCTAAAGGGACCTGCACTAGCACGGTTTGACAGACCAGCAGTTTCCATGAGCGCCCGACAACCAACAGGGTATTTAGGTTTGTTATGTGCGCTCTGAGGTCGTGGCTCTGGCCATTCAGCCCAAACAGTGCTTTACACTGGAGCCTCTGTACTGACAAATGGACTGAGAGAGGAGACATAATGAATATTGGATAATATTCAGATTAAAAGTTCCTTTAACAGACCCCACAGAGATAGAGATAGAGATTAATTGATCAATCGATTGATTGATTCCACCATGATTGAGCCCTGAGGCGCTGACAGATCAGGTTGAAGAAGGCCTTTTGGCTTATCTGATCTCATCCCTCTAGAATACCCGTTCCCCCCCACCACCGTATTTCCAGCATCCCTGCACTGCAGTCAGTCCGTCATCATCACAAAGGCACTTACCTCCATTGCCGTTGGTGTCAGAGCCTGAAAGAGGAGAGAGAAAGTAACCCTGAGATTTAGTTAAATGGCTCAACTTGAACTTCCTTATGGGTGTATGCAGAGCGCCCTGCGAGCGCCCAGTGGGTTATCTTCGATAAACCGGTCACATAACTACTGTGGAGTCGGCTTCTCTCTCGGTCGGTCACAGGGAAGCAAACGCCGGCGGGTGGGCGGGCAGACTCCCCGCTCCGAGTTCTGCCGGTGGCCGGGACGGGTGCCTCGGTATCCCCGTCTGCTCACTGCGCTGGGACTCACCATTGTTGGCGCCATCTTCCTCACTATCGTCATCGCTGCTATCATCTTCTCCGTCACTGTCATCCCCGTCACTGTCATCCCCGTCACTGTCATCCCCGTCGCTGTCATCCCCGTCGCTGTCATCCCCGTCGCTGTCATCTCCAGCACTGTTGCTATCGCCGCTGTCATCTCCAGCGCTGTTGCTATCGCCGCTGTCATCACTGTCTCCACCGTTTCCGTTGCCATTCCCGCCATTGCCGTTGCCATTCCCGCCATTGCCGTTGCCATACCCGCCGTCACTGTCATTGCTGTCCCCGCTGTCACTGTCACTGTCGTCACTGCTCCTGTAGTACCTGCCAATGCCTGAAGCAAAGCCGAGGACGTTGACTGAGAGAGCGTAGCCACTGGATGGGATCACCATTAACAATAACAACTTGCTTTTATACAGCGCTCCTCACTTTGTCAGCTTTGTCCCATCGCACTCTGCCCTCCCCGCCCTCCCCCACGCCACCCTCCCTCTTTCTCCGGGGGCCATCAGAGCGGACGGAAATCTTATCAGGGACAAGAAGCAGCCAGTGCAATCCTAGAGATGATGAGACTCTTTCCCAATCTCCAGTGCTACAAATCTCTGCAAGCCCTGATCGAGCAAAACTTGTTAGTCTGAGGCAGGAAGGTCCTATTCAATTGGGACTAAATACCCTGGGGATCAGTGAGCAGGGAAAAAGACAAGGGACAGTTGATTAAAGAGTGCAGTCAAAGCCATACTAGAGTTGCTTGTTGGTCAGGTTGGCTTTAGGGGTGCGGGAATCCCAGAGTGTGTGTTAGGGGATAATTGCTGGTAACTGCTGGTGTTTAAGTAGCTAAAGCCGTATGGCTTGCCAATCGAGAGTGCTGCCTGGCAGGCTTCCCGCTCGCTGCTTGTTTACCTTAGACCACCCAATCCGTCAGGACTTTGGCTTGAACTGTTAACAGGAGCCGAGTGAGCAGAATCCCTGCTCCCACTGTGGTCTGAGCAAAGGAGTGAATGTTTTATTTGGGGGACTGCTGAGTGGGAGGGTTGGCGCAGCTCACACTAACCAGCGCTGAGAGGAACTGCAGCTCGGAGCTCAGTGTTGGTGCTTTGGAAAGCCTTTGGCAAGTATATGAAGCAGGTTGGTGTCACGTGGACCTGTCTGAGACACCGGTTTCCTATAGGAACAGTAACCTTACAGACTTACAGGACACCTCCTCACTGCTGTCTGCCCCTGTGTGGCAGGAGCATGGCTCACCCTCCCCTCCTGTGCCCCCCCCCCCTCTACTCCTCCCATCCTCCTCCACGTCTCCACTCCGTGCCCTAAGCCGGGGGCTGGGTGTGAGCAGCCGGGCAGAAGCTGCTGCTCAGATCTCTGTGAGATTGTATTCATGGTAGATTCTGGGTCGAGGAGTATAATTCCTGCACGTGTGAACGGTATGGAGAGTGGAACTGTATGGAAATTGGGTCTGTAAGGCCACTGGACACTGTATGACACAGGGATGCTTCGGAGAAGGAGTTCAGCATTGAGAATTATAACTTTGACTCCCTTTAAACCTCGGTGGGATTGATGGGTAGTGGCGGAGTATGTCTGGCGGATTTTACCAATCGGTGTGGACGGTTAGTGGTGTATCTGTGTCTAACTCTCAATATGTCCAGGTAGTAGGTCCACAGGTTTTTGTCAGTGTTTGGGGGAACCTGCTCCGGGGAGGTGGGGGTGGGAGGCGAGGGAGATAGTCTGTGAGGACTGGACCAGTTGATATGGTTGGTTTAAAAGGCTCGGCTTAAGCACAAGGTAGCAGTGTGGCCACTCAATGTCTCAGCCTCAGCTCCTAGAGCTGTGTATTGGGACCCACAGTACAGTAGCGGAGGGCTTGAGAGAGACAATGTCACAGACACCGTCCTTCAGACGGGACATTTTAAACCAAGCAGCAATCTGTCCACATGGACTTAAATGATGCCAACGTCAAAAAGACAAGGGAGTTTTTCTCTCTCTATCTCTCTCTCCCCGGTGTTCTGGCCAACAATGCCCCAGGTAAAATGGGTCATTCACTTCATGGCAGTTGCTGTGACTTCACTATACCCAAATCGGCTGGCACATTGGCACACAAAACACACAGTCACTACACTTCACAGTAAAATCCCATGAAATGTTTTGAGACGTCCCTCCCGACATGAAAGACACTGCACCGAATGTAAGGATTATTATTATTAACGTCTCAGCTTGGCCGTGGGAGACCGGGTTCTGAGCAAAACCGTTGGGACAAAGGAGGCAATGAATGAAAGGGTCACTCACCTCTACAGTGGCAAACGACCACAAGTCCGAGCAGTGCAAAGACCACGAGCCCCCTCATTGTTGCTGGGTCCTTCTCTTGTGCTGGAACTGGAGAGAATGTGCTCACACTGCGGACACAGGCACGACCTGCACTATTTATCCTCTCCTTGTTCACAGGCCTTCATTGACACTTGGTGCCCACACGTGATCTTGTGGGTGGCTCTTCCGGCAGACGGAAGGATTGTGGCTCGCCACACTGAGAAACCCAAACTGCCATCACAATTACAGGGTCTGGCCACCACCAGGGCGCGAGGTCAGGCAGGCAGCGTGGGAAGAGTGGTGATGAGTAAGAAAGCAATTGGCTGCTGTGTGTCGCCCACAAAATATATAGTCACTACACTTTAGAGTATATTCTGTGAAGCGCTTTGAGACATCGCGAAGACGTGATGAGGCGCTATGTCAAATGCAAGGATTATTATTATTAGAAAGCTAACAGCCTTCCGTTAATCTGGCTGCTGCGTCCTCCTACACTTTCACAGTGATTAATGCAGAGCGCTTTGATGCATTTCAACGTGAGAAGAAGCAGAGGTTATTATTATCAGTGTTTGGCCACAAAACACACAAGTGCTACACTTTACAGTAAATCCTGTGAAGTGCATTGAAAGATTCTCCCAATGAGAAAGGCGAGGTCTCAATTATTATTATTATAATCAGATTTAGGCCTCGCCTAGCTTCAGCGAGAGGTGCTGTCCTTTAGGGCCACAGATTAATCATCCGGATTTTAATAAAATCGGTCACTGAATTCATGGCTGTTTGTGGGACACTGATTTGCGCAATTCTCTGCCGCATTTCACCCAGAAAATACACAGTTACTCCTCTTTACATATCCTGAGAAGCACTTTGAGCTGTCTCAATGACGTGAAAAGATCCTGTATCAAATATGAGGATTATTATTATTAAACCCTGCACTTTGACAAACGGGTGCTCAGTTTAACGTATCAGCTGAAGGACGGTGGCTGTGACAGTGTAGCCCTCCCCCACCTCCATGGTTTACAGCAGACAGAGAGAGAGAGAGACTCAGACAGTGCTGCTGTGGACCTGGTGTTACAGGCATCGGTGGTACTGGGATACCTGCTGGTTCTCGGTACAGCTGGCTGCGTTACCATGTTACCCTGTTGCTCAGCACCCAACATGCGAGACACCCGGAGCCCACGCATCTATCCTGTCGCTTGTTCCATGCGGCCGCATCTCAGCACCATGCGCCAATCCCAGGGGTAGGCTCCCAACCCATCCCGAAACTCTGGAACACTCTTCCTCTATCCCTCCGTCTCACCCCTTCCTTCCCCATCTTCAAGTCGCACCTGAAGACCTTAGTTTTCGACCAAGCCTACAGTCACCTGCCCCCTCTCCCTCGCTCAATGTTGCGCACTCTTGGACGCTACCCTGTGTGAGTGACGCTGTGTAAATGCAAATTGTTGTTGTTGTAGCACTGGAGAGCAATGCTTCAGATTACGTATAGAATCAGTCTGTGGGGCAGAGAGAGAGAGAGAGGAGGGGAAGGGGGCTTGGGTACTGTATTTACAATAAAATGATGGCATTGCAGTTTGTGGTCAACCATAATGCCATGGCTGACTGCGTGTTAAAAACCTATCTTCTGCCCTTTGTATTCAGTGGGCAGCTTGTCTGCCGTGCTGGAGAGTAACCCTTTCAGGCATATTACCTTATTGGTAATTCGCTGCACCCAAGATTGTGGCGGATCGCTTTTCCAGGGGGTAATAATCCCTTCCAAAAATAAATAATAATAATGATTTGGTCACTCAATCCCCAACTGTTTTGAGGGATGCAGCTGTGCGCAATTGGCTGCCGTGTTTCGCCCACAAAATATAAAGTCAATTCACTTTACAGTGTATCCCAGGAAGCCCTTTGAGACGTCTCAAAGGTGTGATCAGGCGCTATGTCAAATGCAAGGATTACTATCATCCCAATTTTGGTCGTCTTTGCATTTGGTAGCGGGTGGGGGCGATGGGGGAAATGAAGTGCAGTGCAGATTCTGGCGGTAGGAAACAATTACTGTTGGGGCCCTTGTTGTTGTTGTTGTTGTTGTTGTTGTGGGCTTTTTTTTATTGCTTTCTATAAACAGTGAAAGGTCTATTGCACCAACCGCAAAGAAAACATTGAATCCTCACCGCGAGGAGAGTGTGGGTTCCACGAGCCAGACACTGAAACCCAGAGGGAATAAAACCCTCAAGGAACTTCATTACTGTCTGGCCGTTAAATTACACTGTCTGCACCGACAGGCCCTGAATGTGTGTTTATGAAGACGACGCTATAAATACTCCACTGATGGAAACTGCAGAGGGTCTGTAGTCAGTGGGTAATGCAGGCATCGGTGTGAGCTCGCTGTTCAGTCAGATTTCAAGGAGACAATAATAATAACCTTTGCATTTGATATCGTGCCTTATCACGTTTTTGAGGCGTCTCAAAGTACTCTACAGGATATACTGTAAAGTGTAGTGACTGTATATTTATGGGCGAAACGATGCTGTAGGTGTGGGGGAGCGCCACGCTGTTGGTGGTGCGTCTTTTGAATGAGATGTTAAACTGTTCGGCCCATTTGATCTCCAGATTCCCCACTCTCCCACTGTCCCATTGGGGCAATGAGCTGTTTCAGATCTGAGGGAACAAGAAACTCTGAATTCCCAATCTCATCCCTCCAGCCCACCCACCCACCTGCCCGAGCTCCCTATCGCAGCATTGAGCAGGGCACACAGCAGGGCAGCCAGTGAGGAAAACATACACACATGTGCAGCCATTGCATTAATAGATATGTGTCACTCACCAATGTTTGTCAAGCCATCAAACTGGTAGCTCAACCTGTATTCTTGCCTGAGTCAGTCGCTTGTGGGTCCAGCCCCCACGACAGGGACTTTGAGCTCACAATCTAGACTGATGCTCCAGCACATTGCTGTTCTTCAGGTGAGACATTAAAACCAAGCTCCCCCCAGTATGTGCCTCGCTCAGGTGGACGTCACTGGGAAAACAGAAGGGCATTCTCTCGCTGGTGTCCTGCCGCAATCCCTCGGTTTTAATATCTCATCCGAAGGACGGCGCCTCCGAGAACATGGCGCGTGGCAGT